AAAGTGGGAAGGGACCTTGGAGGTCACCTAGTCCTTCCTTGAACTTCTTCAGCTTCTCCTGCTGACCAAGCAGCATGACGATGGTTAAAACCATGATGGGCAGGCTACATTACGCTCGTAACTCGAGGACCACCTGTCACCATTTATGGAGGGGATCCACTAAGCGAGGCTGGGGGATGGAGGAGAAAGGAAGAACATGCAGAAGAACAGGAAGCCAGTACACCCTATTGGGAGTGAGGCATTTCATGACAATTCTCCCGTTATTCAAAATCAGCAAAGCCTTTTGCACGTATTTAAAATAAAGCCAGACAGATAAGTAGAAATAGGAGTGGAAGTCTCACACGTTGCATGACTCATAAGATGGTAACACTGGCCCATTAAATTTCAAAAATTGAAAAACCCAGGCAAAGAAGAGGAGTGCCAGCAACAGCCCGCTTCGTCTAGCAAGGGAGAAAAAAAACAACAATCCTTTTTCTCCAGGATTATTATTTGTTTAAACAATCCCTTCCCTGGCTGAAATGGAAACCCTGCGTGCGGCCGTGCTGTCAGACCCAGCTTAAGAGCGGAGCAGCTCGGCGGCGTAAGATGATCCTATGGAGAAGGGAGCCCTTCTCCCCCCTCTCGTCTCCCGTAGCTGGGAATCTGCCAAGTGCTGAGTTAGTTCCAGAAACCTGCTTCCATCAACTTAGGATTCTTATCTGCCCCAAATTCGGCCAGAAAAAGTTTTACAATCCGTCCCGCACGCCACTCCTGAAATCTTTCCAAACTTGCTGGAGGACCAACCAGCAAGGAAGGCTGCTAGATTCCAGCAGAGGAAAAATCTAATGTGTCATTATCTTATTTGTCGCTTCCTGCTCTGGGAATCCGTAAATGCAAGAACGGTCAAATAAATAAACAAAACAAATTATAAATAAGCCAGCCAGCCCTGACTTTTTCGCCCTGGTAAAACTGTCCCCAGGGCATCCACGGATGGGGAGTCAGCAATCCATCCACTTCTAGCTCCTTCAACTTGGGGACTTTGGAAAGGCTGATATGATCCGTTCTAAAGACAGTTTAAAAATGACAGAAGAACAGAGTTTGGAAGGGACCTGGGAGGTCTTCTAGTCCAACCCCCGGCTCATGCAGGAGACTTTACGCCGTTCTGGACAAATGGATGCCCAGTCTATTTTTGAAAACCTCCAGTGGTGGAGTACCCAAAAGTTCTGTCCCAGTGATTAATTGTTCTCACAATTAAGGAAATTTCTCCTTAGTTCTTAGGTTGACTCTTTCCTTGATAAGTTTCTATCCATTAATTCTGGGCTCAGCGATGTTCATTAAGTCGAGGATTATCCATATTCCAGCTACGGGACATACAAAACCTATTTTCAAGCTGATTTTTAAACCTTCCCAGCGGTGACTAGTCCCAAACACGGCCCCACTCCCTTTGGTGAGATTTAAAAACAGACCCTGATGAGGGTTTTCTAAATCTTGCTGAGACCAGATGTTGGTCAAAATCATACACACACACACACACACACACACACACACACACACACACACACACACACACACACACNAAAGTGGGAAGGGACCTTGGAGGTCACCTAGTCCTTCCTTGAACTTCTTCAGCTTCTCCTGCTGACCAAGCAGCATGACGATGGTTAAAACCATGATGGGCAGGCTACATTACGCTCGTAACTCGAGGACCACCTGTCACCATTTATGGAGGGGATCCACTAAGCGAGGCTGGGGGATGGAGGAGAAAGGAAGAACATGGAGAAGAACAGGAAGCCAATACACCCTACTGGGAGTGAGGCATTTCATAACAATTCTCCCGTTACTCAAAATCAGCAAAGCCTTTCGCACGTATTTAAAATAAAGCCAGACAGATAAGTAGAAATAGGAGTGGAAGTCTCACACATTGCATGACTCATAAGATGGTAACACTGGCCCATTAAATTTCAAAAATTGAAAAACCCAGGCAAAGAAGAGGAGTGCCAGCAACAGCCCGCTTCGTCTAGCAAAGGAGAAAAAAAACAACAATCCTTTTTCTCCAGGATTATTATTTGTTTAAACAATCCCTTCACTGGCTGAAATGGAAACCCTGCGTGCGGCCGTGCTGTCAGACCCAGCTTAAGAGCGGAGCAGCTCGGCGGCGTAAGATGATCCTATGGAGAAGGGAGCCCTTCTCCCCCTCTCGTCTCCCGTAGCTGGGAATCTGCCAAGTGCTGAGTTAGTTCCAGAAACCGGCTTCCATCAACTTAGGATTCTTATCTGCCCCAAATTCGGCCAGAAAAAGTTTTACAATCCGTCCCGC